CTTGGATAGGAGGAAAGATGACATTCTTTACTAGTGGCCCTCTTGCCTTGTTACCAGGAAGCTAGGGACTACTATGGCTGCAAAGAGGTAGGTCTCTCTCAAAACGAGAGACAGAGAATGCCTGAGTTTCCAGTCTAGTGGGAACATTCCTTTCTGATTGGTGGCAACAGAAGCCATGGCTAGAAGTGAGAATGGTGGCTAGATGGGAAAGGCAGCCAGCAGTGGCCGTAGCTCCAGCCATAGTTATGCTTCTGCTGGCCTGAATGGAGTTTCAGTTAAAATTATATCATTCTTCATGTCTAGGCTTCAAAATACCCATGATTTAAGCTAGCATGGATGATCTTCCCACTGGCATAGATGTAGTGCATTATAACATCAGGAGTTGTTAGAGTCCAACATCATCACCTTGGTGGCCACTTTCCTGAGGATGAGTCTCTCCACACATTGGACCTAGCTAGGTTGGTTCTCTAGAGACAAACACTCCCCCAAATATTCAGTGGTTTCCTATTGCTTCTAGCAAAAAATGAAAAATCTACCACCTGGTATTTAAAGCACACAGCATGGATCCCACTTACCTTTTCATTTTTATTTCATATTTATTCCCTTTCATACGACACTGACACACTAGGTATTTTCCTGTATGTGGCTTTTCATCTCATGCCTTTGCACAGGGCTTAGCCATGCCTGGAGTTGTCTGAATCTTCACCTCAGCCAGCATCCCTTGCTTCTTTCAAAGCACAGTTCAGGTGCTAATTCCTCTGTGAAACCTCTGCTGATTCCTCCAGCTTTGGGTCCTCCCTTCCTCTTCAAATTACCTTGACTTGCTTACCCTCTCATATATCTTGGAGTTCCCCAATAGAATGTAAATTCTTCAAGCTGAGTCAGGAGCTGCATCGTTCTTTTCATTGTTGCCTCATTTTTCCAACCTATTTCTTGACTTTGGACTTTATGTTAGAGTTGGGTTCTGCTTACTTTGCTGGGGCAGGGGGTGGAAAGGGGGAGTTAGGGAGGGGAGGGGAGTGTCTCAAGCTTCAGGCTTTTATGTCCTGCTGTTTTCACAGCTTGGTCTGGGGGTCTGTAAGTTTTTGATGCTTCCAAAGTGGTGGTGTGATCTGGGAGAGGTCTGGCCATTGCCTCCCTAGTATTGGTTTTGGTACTTGTGTCCACAGCCTGCATGGAGCCCTGTACAAAGTACACACTTAGTAAACAGCTTTTGAATTTCATTGACATTTGCATGGGCTCATGTAGACCAGGATGAGACCCAACCACCATTTATATCTTTATATGAAAAAAATGTGTTCTAAGTTCCAAACAATTGGTATATGGATAAGTTTTTGAAATATAAGTTATGTACTTGTTGTCTGAGAAAAATCTTTCCCCAAGGTCATTATAATGAACTTAACATCCAGCTTTTTTTTTTTTTTTTTATTCCTTCATCCAAAGGAGAATAGGGCAGCTAGGTGGCTCAGTGGATAAAATGCTGGGCCTGAAGCAGGAATACTCATCTTCCTGAGTTCAAATCTGGCCTTTGACATTTACTAGCTGTGTGACCCTGGGCAAGTCACTTAACCCTGGTGGCCTCAGTTTCTCATCTGTAAAATGAGCTAGAGAAGGAAATGGCAAATCATTCCAGTATTTCTTCCAAGAAAACCCCAAATGGAGTCATGAAGAGTCAGACATAACTGAAATGATTGAATAAAACAACATCCAAGGGAGAATAAAATTTTGGCAAGACAAATTTGTTGCTTTCCCCCCCAATTAATCCCTATTCAGCAAACATCATGATTAACTCAACTTAGGTGGCATTGACTTTAGTGGAATTAGCTGAAAGTTTGCTATTCTAATCAGCCTAGAAATAGGAGAAAAGTGGACAAATAGTAAGACTCACCTAGTCCTTAGGATTGGCAGCATAGCTGTGTCAGAAAGTCAAGGAGGTGAGGAGTTGTATGGTGCTGGTTAGAATGTAAAGTGGGATTGAAACAGATAGTCATGGCATCCAAGATAAGTCAAGAGACAAGTGCAGCAAGTAAGGTTTCATGTACTAAAATAAGGAGGCGTTGAGGAACTAGAAGTGAAGAGCAGATTCAAGGTGAGTGAAGGAGTGAGAAAGGTAGAATTGGAATTTGTAGTCAGGGAAATGGAAAAAAAAAGTTCCAACATTTTTCTATGCTTGTGGATGACTTAAAGACTTGAAAGGTGATAGTTGAGATACCTGAAGACCAGGTTGTCAGAGGGGGTTACCAAAGTCTTAACTATCCTTGGTCAGTAAAGTATTCCTTTTACAAAGTACATGGCAGATTGTACTCAGAGATTATGTGCCATAAGTAATATCTTGAAAAAGATCTTCTCCTGAGACAATATTAATTTTCTATCCAGTGACAGAGGACAACAGGACTGAAAAAAGTGCTAATCCACTATATCCTCATTCTAGTAGGATATTAAGCAATTGATATCAAGCAATATCAAATAATTGACTTACCACTCAGTCGAGAAGCACAGGACCTTAAAATCTATAAACCACATATTAAAATTAAATGGTTTTACCATTTCTGTGTGTGCAGGAATGATAACAACAGTGTCCAAATCAAGGAAATTTGGCTTTATTTCTAATCCGCTATATCACTTAAACTGACCTTGGCTTGTGATGGTAACTTATTTCCTGTCAAAGATGTCCCTGAGGATCTTCTACCAAAACAAAGATAGTGACCAAAGGGCTAGGGTTTCATTGAAGAGAGTTTCCAAGGCTTCGGTTTAAAGTAGTTGAATGCCAAAATCAGGCTGCTTTAACTTTTTAATTTGAAACACCACTGATTGACTGCTTCTAACTACACAGAAAGTTTAGCTTCTAACAGGTGAGTGATATGACTAACAGAAAACTGTTCTTCCTTCACTGAATATGCTAATTTCATTTTTCTGTCAAAATTGAATAACACTAATAAAAGTCATATCTCAATGGTGGTAATTTGGCTTTTAGGAAGATAGTTAAGTACTGAGCTACTAGACAGAATTAAATTAATAAGGTGTAATGTATAAATTTCTATTAATTTCACAACTTTAACTCATTTACATGCAGACCATACAAAAGTTATTGTTAAACACTGGACCATATGAAAAACACAGGATATTTTTTAATGTACCTGCTGACTACTGATGTCAATTTCACTAAAAATCTAGTTTCATGGAAATAATTTAGCAAATCATCTTTATGAAATATCCAAAGAATTTGATTTTTACAAGTAATTATTTTCACTAGAAGTTTGATTTTAGCCAATCAATAATTTTTTGAACTGTTTTAAAACTTTATGGTCTCACTAATACATTCCTAGAAAAGAAAAATGGTTGTTGTTCTATTACCTTAGGAGTATGATTTTCTTTGCAGGATGGGGAAAGGGGGATGGGCGGGGGGAACTGAGGAGGGGAACGGGAGGTGGGGCGGGCAGAATTTCTCCTATTACTTTCCAACTGCTTCATTTCCTGCTAGTGTGAAGAGTCCATATTTTACATGCAGCCTATTGTGAAAAATTTAGCAAATACTAAACCCAATATTCCATCCCATGGTGTAGAGCCTCGGATATTCTAATTTCAAAAAAGGGAAGCCTTCTACAGGGTAACTAGGAAATATTGAGAGAATATGGAACCCCCTAAACAGGAATGGAAAATGGAAGACCTTATCTCTCACACGTCCTTGGGAGATGTATTATTGGGTCCTATGGAATTGGAATGGAGAATTCATAGTAATTATATCTCCAAAATGTTGAAACTTTACTGGCATTTGACTCTCAGTAATGCATATAAATCAAATACAAATCTTTCTGATAACTTCAATAGCAGATAAAATTTTCATATCTGAACCACAAAAGGAGAAAGCTAATCACAGGAATGGTTAAAATAGTTATACTCTATTACTATGTTCTCCATTCTCTTATCTGTGAAATGATAGGGTCAAGTTAGATATTGAACAGTTATGCTTACAACGCTATGTCTGCCAGGTATCTACTCAAATTCACTGAAAACTTTGGGAAACTGAAACATGGAGAGATTAGCATTTCTATATAATAGATTTATAACTAAAAGGGACCCTTAGAGGTCATCTAGCTCAACTCCCTCATTTTACAGAAGAGGAAAATGAGGCCTAAAGAATGAAGTGACTTGTCCATGGTCACACAGAGAGTAAATAGCAGAGCTGGACCAGAGCCTCTGACTTAAAATCCAGCATTCTTCCTGTTACAGCAACTGTCCTCCCTAGCTCTAAATCTTATAGTTCATGAAGGAATCACAGACAAGCAAGACAATTTGAGTGTTATATGCTGAATTTATTGTATACGTAAAAAGAAGAGCAAAACCACATAATACAGATTCAGAGTTTCATGCACAATCCTTTCTATTCTACAATGTGTATAGAAATACTCATTTTATTTGATATTTGTCAAATTCAGAATAAAATGAAACTAAAATTAAAAAATTTTAAGTCTTGTGATCCTCTGACCTCAAGATAAATGAAGTCTCTAGTTCAAGGGCAATGTTTTCTTCCAACTAGTCTTTATTATGTTCTTAACTAGAATTCTCTGTTAATTTTGTTATTGGTATAATTTACACTTTAATTAAGAGATTGATTACACAATGACAGTTCCATTTCTCTAGATTTTTTTCTTTATAGATTTTTTTAGTATCTTTATTTTAGCATCTTTACTAAGCACTACTTAAAAATTTAGACAATCTAAAAGGTTATTGAACTCTTTTTTCATATACACCACAAAAATAAACTCCAACTCATTGCATGTAGATATCATCTTTGTGGTTTATTATATGTACTTGAATATTTTCCCTGTTCACATAGCTAGTGTTCTAATCAGTGATTGAATCAGGTGTTTTCTCATTTCCAGCTGTAATAATTAATGAATCTATGAATCTTTTTCTTCACCTATTTCTATCCTTAATATACCTTGCCCTCCTATTTTGAGGAGAAAATACAAGATTTTTTTTTCTCTTTTGTGTAATAGGGACTGCCACTGTCAATAACAGAAGTGTTGAAACTCTGAAGTCAAGGTCTTACTGGTGGTTAAAACTTCAAAGGTAAGACTTTTGCTACTTTGCATGATACAATCTGGTAATATTTAACCATTTGCCTTTGATCATCTACTTTTCTGTTATTTTAAGGAAAAGTTAAAGTACTGACTCACAAGGCTTTTGTAAACACTGGGTTCTCAGTTAGGAAGAAGAGAGTTTTCATGATGTAGACCTCCCGTTTGAAACTCTGCTATAAGCCTTAGAATGGAGCAAAAGGACGCAGGGCAAGGGAACCTGCTGATGAGCAGTTTCATTCCAGGTTCTCTAAGGTCAGATGGAATTTTAGACTTTACCTTAGGATAAACTACCCAGAGGGCCTTGTGCCCTGACCTTCAAAATGAGGTTTGTGGGTAAAAAAAAAAGGAAGGCAAGCCAAGCAAGCAAGAGGTGGAGAGGAAAGACTTTGACATCAGCAAATAGGTGGAGAACAGTGGAGGCTGGAGCTGGAGCAACATCCCAGACAAAGCCTATACGCTGAATTTGGCCATCATGGACTGGGCTAAACACTGTCAGGCACTGCTGCTCCCCAGTGACAGAATCCTAGAGATACAGAAACATGGCTATTGGTGAGACTGCTCTGGAGACTTTTCCCTGTCCTTTTGGCTATGGGACTGAGATCCATTCCCTTGCTTTACAGCTAGGTGGTATTCATTTTCTTGGTATCTACTTCTGTAGATTGAGAGCCAAGCCTAGAGTCAGAGCACTCATCTTCTTGAGTTCAAATCTGGCCTCAGATACTTACTAGCTGTGTGACCCTGGGCAAGTCACTTAACTCTGTTTGCCTCAGTTTCCTCATCTGTCAAATAAGTTGGAGAAGGAAATGGTAAACCACTTCAGTATCTTTGCCAAGAAAACCTCAAATTGGGTCATGAAGAGCTGGACACTACTGAAAATGACTGAACACCACTTATTTACTTATTACCTAATGAAAAACAACCTTGTCATGCTAGAGAAGTCAGCCTTGCTGCTTCTGCCTTCTCTTTACCCTCTGGCAACTTCAGACTATGTTCAATACTTTTTAAAACTGCTAAAATTGTAAACAACATCATTTTAAATATTTTCTTGGTATGCATTATAACAACAATAAAATCTAGGTGACCATTCAAATCTACACCACATCTGCTTACTTGAATGCTAGTAGTGAGATTGTACTTAGTTATACTTAAGGCTACTGTGTTCCAAGCTCTGTGTCAGGTATTATGGATACAAAAATAAAAATAAACAGTCCTCACCCCCTAAAAGAGTTTACATTTTATTAGCAGGGACTACTATATACATAGCAAATTAAATGAGGGATGGCATCAAGATGATAGAATGAGAAGTATAGCCTAGCTCACCAAACCTCCTTCACAAAGATCTAGAAAATGTTCCAGATTGAATTCTGATGGGGAAATCCAATAAAAAGTGGCAGGGGATCATTTTTACAGCCCAGGGAGGCTTGTTGTTGTTCATCCTTTGTTCTCAAAGAGGTCCAATGGCATCACAAGGGTGATGTCTTGACTTGCAAGTGAATTGGATTTAAGTGAGGCAGAGCTGTGCAAAGTCATCAGCCTCATTCTCTCCTCTGGAGTCATCCTAGTCTAGTAGCAAGACATAGGTTGGGACGACTGGAGAGGGCCCCAGATGCAGAGGGGAGACTTTGGCCTTTTTAAATCTTTCCCAGGACTCAACTTGTCTGAGACAACACTCATTCAGTGATTTAAGGCTGGGTAAGAAATGAGGCAAAAAATGGCCTAATTTGCCTAGTCTAAATAAATAAATAAATAAATCTGAGAGGGGAAGACCCTTAGGATTTTTGGTCACAACAGAAACAATTGCTATTTACACTCACTCTGAGTCATCAAAACCCAAACAATGAGCAAGTGAGGCTTGGGCTAGAACCTACTGACCAATCAGTGAGAGCCAAAGTGCTTTAAGTTTAAAGTACAGTCAAGTAGCTCCACTTGAATCCCAGTGGGCTTTATCAAAGCCTGGTTTTCTAGAGCTCTCTTTCAAGAAATCATAAATGAACCAGACAGACAGAGAGATAGGCAGATACTGGGATGCAGTCTGGACAGGAATGCACAGCATGGAGCATTCCAGCACCCAGGGACTGGGGGAAAAAAAAAGCCATGACTGGGCGCTGGGGCAGGAAGCATGAAGCAGAAAGAGATCACAGACTATTCCTGAACTAGCTCAGGGTGCATGAATGGGTGTTATCTGGTAGCTCGGCCACTCACTAGCCAGTTCTGAGTCACTGATTCAGCATGGAGAGGAACAGTCCCACAGCAGCAGTGGCTGGGGGAAGGGAGGAAAGGAGAGGATGTGTTGCTCTGTCCTGACTATGGAATGAATTCTGGAAGCAAATAGTAGCTCTGATCTCAATGCAAATAAAGAACTCTCTCTGGCCTCCTCTCTAGTATAAAAGTCTATAGTGGAATAACCAGGGCAGGATTACCACACCAAAGGGGAGCAAACAGTACAGTCACTGAATCTATAGAGCCTCCCAGCAGGCTACGAGTGGCCTAGTCCAACCTTACGCTTCTTAAACTCCCAACCAGGAACAAGCTGACAGATCCGGACCCGGCTCAGGAACTTGCAGAGCTCAGACGAGGAGGCAGGACGTCAGAGAGCATTGAGAGCTTGCAAGCCCCCAACCTGAGCTATGAAATCAGCAGGAGGGTGTGATAAGCAAAATCTCAGGCCAGACATTCCCACCAGAAGTGCAGAGAGCCCAACATTAACATAAAGTCCAAAGTCAAGAAGTTCAAAAAGATTAGAAAACAAAGGAAGAACTCCACCATAAAGAGCTATTATAATGACAGGGAAGCTCAAGACACAAACCCAGAAGAAGAGAATGAATCAAAAACATCTATAAGCAAAATCTCAAAGGAAAAATTGCAGCTTAGACATAAGCTCAACCAGAATTCCTTTAAGAGTTAAAGCAAGAATTTTTTAAAAGAGCTAAAAACTATTTTTAAAACCTAATAAGAGTCATAGAAGAAAGATATGGAAAAAGCTTGACAGAACAGGTGTAAAATCTTACCCAAGAAAATAACTCCCTGAAAATCAGAACGGACCAAACAGAGTCTAAAGACATCATGAGACATCAAGAAATATTAGTCAAAAGACTGAAAAAAAGAAGGAAGGAAGCATGAGGTATCTTACGGAAAAAACTTACACTGAAAACAGATATAGGAGAGAGAATTAAGAATCATTAGACTACCTCAAAGCCTTCCTTTTTAATGAAATTCATACAGAGGTGTAAAACAAAACAAATAAACGAAAAAACCCTTAAGAATATCAAGGTAAATAATGAAAAGAAGTAGAATGAAGAAGGCCTAGAAGTGCCAGATCTCAAACTAAACCACAAAGCAGTCATTCTCAAAACAATTTGGTACTGGTTAGAAGTAAAGAGATTGAACAGGGAAGCAGATTAGTACACAGCATACAGAAGCAAATATAGTCACTACTCTAGTACTCAATAAATGCAAACTCCAAATTACAGGGATAAATATTCACTATCCGACAAAAAATTGCTGGAGAAATTAGGCTGTAATATGGAAGAAATCAGATTTAGACCAACACTTCATATATTATGCTGTGGTGTAGGAAATGATGAGCTGGTTGATTTAGAAAAATATGAAAAGACTTGGGCCTATGAAGAAAGATGCTTTCTACCTTTCAGAGAAACAGAGGACAGATGGATATAAGCATAGTATGGTCTTACATATATGTGTATGAGTGTATGTGTATATATGTATATGTTTATAGATATCTATGTATATGTGTATATATGTGCATATATATATATATATATATATATATATATATATATATCTGAGCCTTCTTTAGGATAGGGATGGGGAGAGAGGAGAAGAAAAATAAAGTAAAAAGTGCCCATCAGAGAACAAAAGAAAACCAACAAGGAAGCAAAGAAAAGCTGGACATCTTTGAAAACAATATGTAATATTTATTATATAGGTTTTCTTGAAATGGAAATTTACTGTTTCATATTGAATCCTCTCTTATAGTCTGCTGTGTAATGGCAATTTTTTTTCTTTTCTCATTTTGTATTTAAATTTTTTTAAAAATTATATTAAAAAGTTTTTGCATAAGTCCATGATCAAAATTATAGTTTTGGCATCATATTTCAAGAAATGACAAAAGAAAACTGCCCAGAAAACTACACATAGAACCTAAGGTATTTTCCAGTTGAACAGCATTACTAAGAAAACTTAGCTCATTCTCAAAGGTGACAGGTAAATTGGTCTCAAGGTAACTAATTATTTTTAAAATCAGTAAATATAAAAGAATTGATCATAAATAAATCATAATAATTAATTCATACCCTAGATTTTAGGAGAGCAGATTTCAAAGCGGTCAGAGAAGGAGAATCATATTTCAAGAAATGACAAAAAAAAAACTGTCCAGAAAATTAAATTTCCATTATGGAAAACAATTTGGCTACAAACATAAACAGTGTAAGCTCTTTGACCCAGCTTTGCTACTGTTAGGCTTATACCTAAAATGATCAAAGTGTTCAAATAAATAGGAACAGGACCCATATGGGCAAAAATATTTATAGCAGTTCTTTTTGTGGTAGCAGAAAAACAAACAAAATAACAAGGGGCAGCTGGGTGGCGCAGTGGATACAACACCAGCTCTGGAGTCAGGAGGACCTGAGTTCAAATTTGACCTCAGACACATGATACTAGTGTGTGATCTGGGGCAAGTAACTTAACCCCAATTGCCTTGCCAGGGTAGTGGGGGGGGAGGAAATTAAAGGAATGCCCATCAATTGAAGAATGGCTGAATAAGTATGGTATATGAATATGAGGAAATGCTATTGTCCTACAAGAAATTAGGAAATAGATAATATCAAAGAGAAATAGAAAAATACATGAAGTAATGGAGAGTGAAGTAAGCAGAACCAGAAGAACAATTTATACTTAATTTAAACATTAGCATTATAAAATTAACAATTTTAAAGACTTTTATAAACAAAGAATGAAATGAACATAACT